ATACTAGAAAGAAATAAGTCTAAAATGATTAAATTGTTTGCTTTTCTAACTATTAGTAGTAACAGAAAATTCTCCATTTCAACCTATAGAATTCCCAAGACACCTATGTCATCCCAATTCTGTGCATAAAAGGCAAGTGAGGCAGAGAATTGCACTGTAGGACTCAGTATAGCACATGATTTTTCCACTGAGCATCATTCTGCTTTCAACTCTGGAAGATTTGCCGCCTAACAGATTAAATACCCTCCTGAAATTAGTCCTAGAGCTACTCAACCCAGGACCCCCATCTTTATACAAACTATCCAACCATTAACAGGTAAGTACTATGCATAGGTAACGAGAAGGCCGATACTCTCTTAGAAAGGAGTGTACCTTTTGTTTCGCTCACACCTCCCACACTCACTGCTGGTTCTCATCCAGACCCCGTTCATGTTGCTCACATGCAGAAGGGAATCTCTGTGCCTTCTCAATAATTCAATTGGTATTCTACGTGGGTAAAAGGTGTCACCTCATTAAAAGCCCTCACGAGATGGATGGTTTCTCTGTGTGCTCTGGGAGCTTAACCCCAAGGCTGGTAATTCAAGGAAAGAATTTTGTACAGCCTAAATAACTGACCAACCAACCTAACAAAGCCCACCCCAAACACCACTGCCACCCCCCAAACCCACACCCAAAACCCCAACTTTGATTATTTCTAGATAATCTCTGTGAAAGAGCGAGTCCTAGGCTGGAATGCCCTGTACACACTGTAGATAGTGCCATATTCACTATGACAATGATTTCAATCTGGAGCATGTAAATCCATGAGGAGTGGCTCTACTGTAGTGAATTTTGCTGGTGGCATCCACTCTCTCCTGCAAACGTTTTTCTGCCTTACATTTCTTTTTCATTCATTCAGGCTTGGATATTTCTCTCCTCTTCTTCCTGGCTGAAGCATGAAGCTGTTTCCTTCCACTGCTTCATCTGTCTTCTCACTCACTGGGAGACATGTTCCAGGAAGAGATTTCTGATAAGAAATCAATTTAGATTCCATCCATAGAAGACCACACAAACTTCAGAGTGAATCCGGGACACTGCCTGTAACTCTATTTATAGACACTGAAGTCAGACTGAACACAAGGTCAATTTCTCTTTCAGGCTGCAACAAACGTCTCAAATCTGCTGAACTTAATGAAGTTGCAGCACTAGAAAAGGAAGGATTTTGTCCATAATTCGTAGTCCTGGTAGCTTCTTCCAAATGATTTGCTGTATTTTGGGATCCAAATGTATTTTTTTATTTGCAAGGATAACAGGAGTTATATTACCAGCCAAAGGCGGTAATACAGATAAATCCTTATAGGTCACACTGAAAATGTAATCTGATATGTACTGCTGAAGACTGAAAAGACACAGCTTCTTTCCTAAAGAACCTTTTCTGAAGTCCTCACTCATGCACATCATTCAGTGTCATCAAGATTTGTATTCACAGAGTGCAATATCAAGGTAAATAGATATTCTAAGTCTTTTTGTTTATTCTATACCAGTGTGAAAAAAAAAAAAAAAAAAAAAAAAAAAAAAAAAACCATCAAAATGGCCAGAAATTGCATTCACACCTACATTAAAACCCTTGAGCATTAAAAAAATGGTGGTATTTGGGTCATACATCAAGCTAGAAAAAGATCATTCATCTATAGTATCATCAGTAAGGCAAGGAGTATGTTTCCAGCTCTTTCTTTACTTGTGTTAGTGCAACAGTATCAGAGTGACTGGAGAAGACACATATGAAATACGTGGAGCCAGTTTAGTGCTTTACAATACAACTGTCCTGAAGAAGGGATCACATCTGTTTCACAACCTTCAGATCTTTATCCCAAAGGCTTAAAACTTCATTGAGAAACTAACAAATCACACTTCATGTAAAAGTTTAAAAACCCCTACACTCCTATAATATTTATAGCAAAAGTTGCCAACAAGGAAGAGCACCATTTAACACACAGCTCACTAGTGTTGGCAGTTCAAATGTTGCAAACAATATGTTTGCATTTTGACTAGGATTGTTGTGCTTGGTTTCCTAAATGAAGGGACACTGTGTTTTCCTATGCTCCTTTTAGTTCTATTGAGACACAGGCTAGTGAAAACTAAAAGGTTTGTGGCATTTGTTGAACTTTTTTTTGGAAACTTAAGAAATAAATTTATAATGGAAATAAGAGAAATCAGGTTTTAAGTCTTCCACTATGAGCTAGCATGATTTTTATTTCCACTCCAGCAGCGTAGGGACTGAAAGACTCCTAATCACTAGCCTGATATACCATAGTACCAACCACTTCTATCAGTTGTTACAAATACCACTGCTGTCCTCTTTTTAACAGTGGGAAACCGAGGTCTGAGGTGAGCTGACCTTGCCTAAGGTTACAGAGCAGAATGAAGAAGAGAATCCCACCCCCTCTGGCCAGACTTTTTGATTTCCAATACTCTTCTATTTCTATCTCACATTGAAGAAGCAATGGGCCACTTTCTTAGATCTTTCAGTTTCTGCTTAAGTGCATGCGGCCAGTGGAAGTGTACTGTGTCAAGGAGCAGATTTCAGAAGTTTCCAACCCCATGGTTCCCATCTAAACGTTCAAGACACCAAGGCTGTAGGTTCTCCAGTTAGCTCCCACTGAAGACAGCATGTCCATCCAGAACACAGTATTTTTGTCTTTTCTGTCTTTGAAGGTTTCTGACTGAAATTTCCAACCACATGATCCTGTTTAAGTTTTTACCAATAGTGTCTAATGCAGCAAATGGTCAAATTCTTGTATTTTCTTGATTTCTGGATTTGACACAGGCTAAATGTTACCCTAACTAAAGCAGTTAAATTGATGTTCACATTCAGAGAGGCAGATCTAAGCTACAATTCCGCTTCCTTTCCTGTAGTGTACTTCATATTTATTCTGACATCTGCAACCACCAAGGAGCCTGGATTACAGCAGACCATAATACTCTATGAACCACAGTTATAATTAGGCGTCACGTCCATTGTAATCCTATGGACGTCATCATGTGTTACCAGCATCTGTTGACAGATCTCATACCAGGCATATCACTGAAATGGCAAGTCTGGATAGGGCAACCCACAATAGAAACAATGGCATTTATTTTTGGTTTGTTCCAAGACTGTCTAATAGAAAATATATGCTGCCAACTGCCAGGGCTTCACTGAGGTCACTTTTCAATATTATATTACCAGTTAGAAGAAAGATCTGTGCTCACATATCTTCAATCTTCTCCTAATAAGTAAGGAAATAAAGAAAGCACATTCTGCAACTGACTTAGCACCAATTAAAAAAATATAGAAGCCTTGAAATTTTACAAAGTTTATCAGTCCCTTTATCATGAGAGCACTTATTTTTCACGTAATAATAAATTCAGACTCTTTTCCAAGACAAGGGATGAGAATCCCCCCTCCTAAATTTTACTTAAATGTGGTATCACTTTATTAAAACTAAGCCCTGGGAACTGGCAACATACAGTAGCAAAGCCACCACCTCTCTACTCTATGGAAGTAAAGCAGAGTCTACTTTAATTTATGTGGAAGCCTGACTTACTGCTGAAGTGCTGTCTGTTTGAAGGAAGGGAAACAAAAAAATTGCTATGGGGTCTTATACTAACTACTCCCTGCTCTTCCATAAAAGTCAAAAGACTTACTGTAAACATAAATTAATAAAACCAGCCAAAACTCAGAGAAGGAGGAAGTCTGCAAATAAAAACTGAGAGGAAAACATTGGTTCTATCAATTTTAACGGAAAAGCAAACCCATTGGCCGCAACGATTCTAACAGCTCTTACTTTTATAACTATACTGTTATAGTATAGCTTTTATAGAAGCTATGACTGTAACAGTGGGCCAGACTACTTAAGTCTTTGAAGTAAGCTCCTCAGCTATAGCAAAAAGCATATTCAACCTTATTGCCTAGAGCACCATTTCTCTCTCTCTCCCCCACCTCTTTTTTTTTTTTTCTCCATTCTTGTAACCAACAGATAACCTTTTAATCCCAGATCTGTCAGATGTGACTTCAATATCACATTTTACATTAGGAACTAACAAATCCTTTGCAATATTTCATCTCTCTCTTTTCCATATGCTGCTTAAAACTCAGTGTTCTGAAATTATATGTTGCAAATATTACTAAAGTACTAAACCATTGATAAAACTACTGATGGGTTTATAATCTCTGCCTATCTTCAGAAAAATAGCTCAGGTAGTACTTGCTGGCATTAACAGTTTTCTTACACCTAAAAGTCAAGAAGCATTTCCCCTGCAGTGGTATATTCCAAGGAGTTTACAGACCTGTTTTTTCCCCAGCCAGTAAACTGGCATGTGGGAACCTAATAATGAAATACATTTTTCCAAATCTAGACTGGATATATTTCAAGGCAATATTTTCCTTGTCAGATCATTCAGTCAGAATTAAGAGTCAATTCTAATAAGAGCTGACTCACAAGATCACAATTTCAAAAGCAATTTCTCAGTCTGCTCTCTGAAATATTGCAAACTTTTTTTGCACACCAATTTTGAACCACCTCATTCATCTCCCTATTTATAATTTCAATTTACTGTTTTTGAAAAGCAACCAGGCACACACATCAGTGCACCCTGCTTTCCAAAAAGAAGGCCCAGGAAATGAAGTTCAAAATTACTGAAATACTAATATATAAATCTAGAGGTACTGACAGAGTATTCCCAGTGCAATATAAAAAGAAACTTCTGACTCCCATAAATTAGTTTCATCTTACATAGGTTTCACTTAAGAATCCAAAAAATGAATGCTTTAGCCTCAAAATATGGCATAGCTAATACGTATTCGCACAGCTAATATATATGGCATAGCTAATATACATGCTTTAGACGACATAAAATATATTCCCTTAGAAAATTAGAACCCCTTTCTGCACAGCCCTGGCATTTCCAGATGCAGCACAGCGATCAGAGAGGGCATCATTCCCCACAGAAGCACATACACAGACACATTATTTCCAGACCTTCCTTTGCTGCTTCTCCCATGCTGGGTCCAGGAGCAGGTCCCTGTCCCATTCTTCTTCTTGGGTCATGTACTCATCTTCTTCGTAGTTGTAGGTGTACTGCATGTTTGTTTCTATCTGGTTCATGCTACTCATGCTACCCAGGGACCAGATTCAGCTGCTGTGGCTTCTACTGCGTTTAAATATATATATATATTTAAGCTTAGTTTACTTGCTGACGGGTTGTAGGTAGCAATGTCTTTTTTCTTTTTTTCTTTTTTTTTTTCTTTTTCCAAGGTGACAGGGAGCGAATATTGCTGAGTGTTGCTGAGAGCAGAAGCTGAAACTGCCAGGTAGGTGCTGACCTGCGGTGACCTCCCTCCCCTCCCTCCCTCCTTCTCTCTCTCCCTCCTTCTCTCTCCCTTCCTTTTCCTTCCCTTTCCTTTCCTCCCTGCCTCTCGGTGCCGGTGCTGCCGGTGCCCGCGGCGGACCCCCCGGAGAAGCCCGGCGCGGCTCATTGCTGCGCCTTATTATCCCCGCCGGGCGGTCACGTGGCGCGGCGGCGGCCGCGGGCGGCGGGGGCGCCCTCCCTCGCGCCGGCCCGCACCACCCCCCCGCGCGCGCGGGGCGCCTCCGCCGCTCCCGCCAGGGCCGGGCGGCCCGCGCGCTGCCCCTAAGCGCTCCGGCCAAAAATGACTGTCTACGCCTCCGTCTGTCCGTCTCTCCTTCCAATTTGACGAAATACCTGTCCGGTTTTTGTTTGCTTGGGAGGTTTTTGTGTGGGTTTTTGTTTCGTTGTTTTTTTTTTTTTCTTTTCTTTTTTTTTTTTTTTTTTTAGCTAGTGACGTGTCTTTCTACTTCTCAAGACCCATCTATGATTCACTAATGTAGCCTGACGCTGCTTATCATTAGTCTGAAGTCTGTGGGAGCCCCTTGAGTCACTACATGCTTGCCTTTTCTGATTTAGGGATCACAAGAGCCAGCGCAGACAAGGCCACCCAAGTTCCAGCGGAGGTCAGGTCTGGAATTAAACCAGAAAGTACAGAACCACAACTTAGAAAAGCAACACACATCTTTTTCATCCAGGAAACACGCTCAGTACATCCCCACAGCAGGCACCAAGAAGCACATACAGAGGTCTGTGGAACCAATAACTTCACAAATGTGTGACAGGAACCATTTACCCAAGCTTTCCACGGGGTAAAATCCAAAACGATAGCACTGAGATCAAGCATCCTGGCAAGAGTGCCGTGTATCTCCCATGTCATATCATTTCAGTTGCCCTGGCAACAATGTCTCTTCTGGGAATTGGCAAGCTGACCATGCGCTTCTCGCAGCCTGACATTAAGGTCTGCACCTATCATCAGCCAAGGTCATCCTCTCCAGCAGTGTCCACACTGGATACAATCAAACCTTACTTAGAAAAAGAAAATGCTCACCAAAGCTGAGCTTTTGGAAGCCATAAAAGACAGATAGAAGGGAGAACTATGTTCAGTAAAGGCAACCATAGTCTCCAAGCCAATGTGAATGAATAACCAGAATAATTAACAACTAGACAACACATGTCCTCCACTTTGTATTGCTAACTAAAGCTCTGCTTTCTGCCAAGTCACCTTCTATCCTGTAAATCTATGCAATTTAGAACATGCGTACATGCACAGCTAATACCTACCCATCAGCTCAAAAAAACCTTGATAAATGCAGCACCAAGGTTTGCAAACTGGAATTCAGAAGAGGATTGCAACGTTTCATGCAGTCAAAGCAGGCTGAACTTCCAAAGATCGATGTACAGACTGTAAGATAAACAGTCTCAAAGCCAAATTCCAAATCTAAGCAGCAAAGTCAGAACCACATGCTTTTCACCTGCTCAATGCAAATATTCTCAGTGTTGCTACGTTTCCATCTATATAATGAAGCAAACGTTGACGAACGCTATGCCTACACTGTTTTGTTCAAGTGCAGATGAGCATTCTCTTAGGATACTCTCAGACAACATCAAACAGCAATTACAAACCAAAATATTGAATGTATGTACACATTATGTGTATGCTGGTGTAATTTGTGTGGTTTATTTTTACAGCTGGGTAGCCAGCTGTGGTTTGCGATACATGCCCAATTTCAATCACCTAAATGACTATTTAAGCCTTTGAAGTCAATAAAACCATTTCTTCTCATTCACTGTACAGGGCACAGGAGAGGAAAAGCAGGAAGAAGACAGAGAGGTCCCAGAAGTATAGACGTAAAGCGGCAATGCTCCAGACCAGAGCTGCCTCCTGTGCAAAGAGCCCTCCTGCACTGACAAGACCCGTGACCTCGCTGCAGCCAGCCCCGTGCCCCTCCTCGCACAGCCCACTCTGGGCATCAACGGGGACGGAGCCGGCACCACCGCCCGCTGCGCGGTACTGGTGAGCCCCATGGATACCGGCGGCTGCCTACAGGGAGGTACTAGTTAAAAGCCACGTCTTAGTTGTTGGCCCCCATCCTATAACACAGGCCAGAGTGCCTGTGTCATGAAATAAAAACTGCGGCGTTATGATGACAAGGAGTATCCGATCACACTGTGGATTAGGACTGGGGTCAGACCTATGCCTAGCTTTCTGGAAACCAAGGGGAAACCTACCCAAATTTTCTAGGATTTGGAAAGAAGCTTGAGTTTTTTCATAAAAAAAAAAAACAGATTTGCTCAAAACATAGCTAGCCATTGCTGTAAAGGTACTGTTCATTTTTTCACGTTCACTTGGTACAGAGGTAAACTTAGTACTTTCATAACAGAACAAACAAAACAAAACTGTATTCATTGTTCCAAGGAACCAACAGCTAGAACCACGGTATCTATCAGCCAGTCTGAGAGATCAGAAATATTCAAGTTAATTCCAAATAGGAGTAGTAAACCCACATTTTTCTATAAGGGGCAAGTATTTCAAAATCCACATTGGGTAGGTTATGTTAGTTCATTTTGGATTAAAAAAAAAAAATCAGAATTTTAATTCTCAAGATGTCAAAACAGGGTGCTTCAACTTTGTCAGTTTGCACTTTGAGAGAGGTAGACTTTTTACCTATGAAACAGGAAGATAAACAGAATATCCCCATTTTAAAAAAACTGCCTATCTTGATGGAATTTGACCTGTTTTAGGTTCTCTAAATAACTGCTTACTGCCCCTTAATCAGACAGCATGAGTAGGCAGGGGAGATATTTATAGATGGAGCTTTAGGAGGTGTATCTGGTATTTTGTTTACTACTTTAATTTAATTTTATAAACGAACTGTGCAGATAGTAATGAGAAGCATATGAATGGAGGTTCGTAGTGGAAAGAGAGCCAAAATGGAACTCTGACGCCATACTTGAAGTGGAAAGGGAGCTGCCTCTTCCAGCTCACCTAGAGAAAAGGAAAGCTGTGTCCAGCAGAGCAGTATGAAGAAAGCAGTGTGCTTCAACCAGCTTATTCCCACATCAGAGGTAGGTTAGGACTATCCCCACTAAAGCTGGTGGTCACACAGCTACAAACTCTGTGTGCCTAAGGAGAAAGAAGATTAAATCAAAACAGAAATAAGCAAGCTGAGCAGAAGACAAAGGACAAAAGTCCCAAGTAGAGAAAGAGGAAGAAACACAGTGAATCATATAGCTATGGAATTTTAAGCTGACATGTCAAGACACCCAAGAGTCAGCAGGTACATTTGGGGCAGAAATGACACAGATTGCTTACAATGTGGTAAGACAAAAAACATGCTCATGACTGCCAAATAGATTAGAAGAAATAAAGTGGCACAGGGAGATCAGAAATGGAGATAGCACAGCTTAATTGTCAACTACTTTTGTCTTTTATTTGGCAAAAGATGTGCAGTAGTTCATGCTAACATAAATGCTAGTAAGAGCCAACCCAGGAGAATGCCTTTAGCCCAGGAGAACACTGTGGCAGCAAGATATCATTTCCCATGCATGAGGAGCACCAAGAAGGCCAGAACTTTCCTAACAGGAGCAGCAGGTCTGTGGGTGAACGCACTCAGTATTTCTTATCACAGTTCCAACTTATGAAGGATCTTTGAATCTAGTACCACCTAAGCAAAAGCCTCCTGGCACACTCTGCATTACTCTCCTTGAGAATAAAAGGTTTTTTCTAACTAAAGGAAGCACACTTTCCACCTCCTATATCAACCATTATATTTTTTTAAATGAAATGTAACTTGCTTCACGCAGTTTGTATTTAACATCCATCTGCTCCCCAAAAGCCATCATATCATTCTCTCAGGAACCCCTCCATATTTTCACTGTTCATCAGACTTTCAATCCTTTCAATCTGTTATCTTTCCCTCTCACAAGATCTTAGGATGAGAATAAAGCTGCAACTTTTTAATGAAACTTCAAAAACGCTGAACACTTAAACATTTCTTCTGGTCATTCTTCTATTTGAACTTAGTGACATTTAGAATATGATATCAGCCAGATTTCTCTACTTAAACAATCACCTGTGAAACAATCAACTGATGCGGAAATGATCGCCATTAGTTTCAGCTGTAACACTTCTGTGTAGGAACACAATAGTTCACATCCACCAGAACTGTCTCAGAAAGGCCACGGGAAGATAAAGAACCTTGTGAGACCTCAATAAGTTGGTGAGTCCTTAAGCAATCATCTTTCCAAAGGCATGGCCTGTTTCTTTGTGAAAATGAACAGTAGAATGGTTTCTCAAGAAAGAAGTCAATGAAAGATAAAAGAAAATAAATTCAAAGTGATCGTTCTTTTGTGTAAACTGTTAACAGAATCTTAAAAGAGGGATCAAAAAGCCCTTTTATTTTCACAGCATGTCATAACTGTCACTTAAAAGGTACTTTTGCTTGTAGCAAATGTCCACTAGTTTAAAGCTCATCCAACAAAAACTGAATTATTTAAAGAAAACACTGATAATTTAGATTGGGCCAAAATCTTGGATTCTATTAAACATTAGACATAAATTTCCCAAACAAAGCTAAGCAGAAAGGTGGGGTGCGATAGTTTTTATTAAAGTTTGGGAGAAATAACCCTTTTTTTTTCCTCCAAAAGAATAAACACAACCTACCTTCTTCAGTATAAGAAACAGGCTATTTTGTAAGTTTGGGGGGGGGGGGGGGGGGAGAATTAAATTCAATCTATAAAGATAATATGAATAAATGTTAAACTCATTTCATATTCCCAAAATGAACACGTACAGAAGGAAGGTAGAAAGAGAGCAGAGAAGAGAAGCATGTGTGGTGATATTCACTATACAGAAACTAAGTATATATTATAATTATTTATTTTAAAGTATACTATTATGAATGACAGGTTTTGAATAAAAATGGAGAAAGATCTCCAAAAAATGTATTGCTGGCTTCATATTAACAACTGACATTGTCAGAAGATCCTAAAGTGTTTCATCAGCTATATATAGAGACAACTTACACTGTCCCTGAAACTCAGCCATGGATGAAGTGCAGCAAGAAACATTTATAGGACAGACAAATACTACCAAAGCATAGCTGG